GGTACATGGGGTCTTAAAAAAGGACAGGTATTGTCTCTTCATCGCATTTTATAATACAAAAAACTAATAGAACAACTCATGAAGTTATTTTTTATTAGAAAAAAATAATCTCATAGAAATATTTTAAGTTTTGAATTGTTAGATAGAATTCCTCACTATTGACTAGCATCATTAGCGGATCAATGTAAAATTTCATAAGCTCGAAGTAAATGTGTTTTATTGGTTGATGTAAATATTTCATACGTTAAATATCATAAAAAGAATTATTAGGCATTCGCTTTCGTTAAAACTTCTGTTTGACTTGTTGGATAAAACAGTCGATTGTTTTCTATAGGATTGTATTGATAATTCACTAGTAAAACTGATGTTTTTCTTTTGATTTTTCATCAAGAACACAAGAAAAAGTCATGCCTTCAATTTTGAGTATGTTGATTTAGTTACAAAACAGAAAGTAAAAATGACGTCATTATATAGTCATTTTATATCTATTGTTGATTTAGAAAAAAATATCTAAAAACAAATGAATTGCTTAAACCGAGTAATCTTTTATTTTGTTGGACATTTGAGACTACACGAGATGAGTCATAAAATCACATCTTATATTTTATATCTAATTTGATTAAAATACTTCATATCTTTTTTGAAAACGAACTGCTATATTATACTATATTAGATAAATAATGCACTAAAAATGTGCATTTTCGAAAAGAAACAGCGATTTTCTATAAATACTATAAAACTACATTTGATTTTTGACAGAAAATTGTGACTAAAATCTTCTTATCATAAACGAGAAAATGATCTATATAAGGCTAATGTGAAGCAATAGTGATATGACAAGAATTATTGTTGCCACAATTGATAACAGACAACCAGATCAAATCCATGCATCTTTTATTGAATTGGCCTTGGACAATTTTCTTGTGGGACATATTGAGTTTCATTCTTATGAATGTTTACTTACATATCCAGTAAAAAAAAATCTGAAAGAAGACGATACATAAGCTCTTTAAAATGCACAAATATCGTTTCTTCATCGTACTCTGTATTAGAGACAACTGAAACAAAGTGTTGATATATGAAATTTATTAAAGTTCGAAGTATGAGCCTGTGGATCTTGCCTTTACCTAAATTTATGCCTGTACCCTCTTTATACACTCTTTATAGATATTTGAATTGACATGTTTAATAATATCCTTGAAACCAACAGTTGATAAATGTATAGTAAAACATTTAGAAATCTCTAAGAAAGCTTAAATGATTAAGAGTAAAACGCTTCATCTCTCCCAAAGCTCCTAGACAGTACGTTCTTTGCATACATGTCTCCTTACTTTGCATGGTTATTTCACTTTTTTCTCTACTTCCCAAGTCACGGCAACAATTATTACAGCAGAAATTCTTTGATGGGTGCATCGCTAGCCTTTTGTCTCAGCTCAAAATCAATATATTATGAATAATAAACTCTCATAAGAGACTTATTTTAAACATTATATTCAACAAAGATTAAAATGTATGCGCGCAACGAATCTTGATCATTCACTATTCTGTAGTGGTAGTTTTCTTTGCGATGATTTTCATAGAAGAAAGAATGATAATCTTGATCAGTGTTTTTTAGTAGCAGTCGTATCAGACAATTGATAGAAAAGCACGAATCACTTCTCTTAAAGTGTACATCATTTATTGAATTAAACTATTTGTATACATAAAAAAGCATGCAGAATTCATCTCCATTTCTTTTGTTTCCTCTTTTTTCTTTTTCTTTTTGCTCCTCCCCTTTCTTTACTCTGTCCTTGAAACATTTACAAGCATTTCTGTTCTCTTCTCTTTCCTCTACTTTTTGCTTCTCAAATTCTGAATTTTTTTCTGTTTTTTTTTCTTTTTTTCTTTTACATTCACACAGGCAGACTTAATACTCTGTATAATTATATTGATAACGACTCTAAAACTCAATGGATTTATGCTGTACTTAATGCTTAAATATTATAATTTGTCCTTATATTCTCATATAAGCGCTTCCAAGTACTACATTTACGAGCACAATAAAAAAAAATACCGGCCTATTTGATAATATTTCTTTCGAAAATGAAACGATTACCTCGAATAATAGTAATTAAAAAAACTTTCTGAAAAGATTATCGGTAGTTCATTTCTTATAGAAAACAAATCTCTGTCATCACTAGCGAGATATACTGTCTTTTGATTAATATAAAATAATATTGTCGAAGAGTTCTTATCAATTGTTAAAGAAGATATAAATGTTTAGTTTACAGATGATACTTCAATGGCTCTTTGTTTGGCAAATTCATTGGTGGCTCGTCGTGGTTTCGTACCTTATGATCAATTAGTTCGATATAAATGGTGGTATCAGCATGGATATATGTCATCTACTGGACGGTGTTTTGACATTGGCGCAGCTACTTCTCAATCAATACATGAATTTATTCGTCGTCAAAAAGTGCTTTCCGCAACATGTCATATTCCTAGTGAAAAACTAGATTATCTTTCAGATCACAATCTTCTTAAAAATTTTCAAGTTCATTGCAGTACGTCTGGTGTCGCTGGTAATGGAGCTCTTATGCGTCTTGCACCTGTACCACTTTTTTTCTATAAACATCCAAAACAAGCTGTAGAATTCTCTGGCTACAGTGGACAGATTACACATGGTGATAAAAAAGCTTATGATGCATGTCGATACTATGGAGCTCTGATTTATGCTACACTTAATGGCTTTAATAAAAAACAGTTACTTGATAAAAATTTTTACAAAAAACACAAGTCGTGGTTCGATGATAAGCCACTTTGTGAAGAAATAAAAAGAATTGCTGAAGGATCTTATCAGAAAAAGGGTGGATATAAAGATGGAATTCGTGGCAAAGGTTATATAGTCAATGCTCTTGAAGCTGCTTTGTGGGCATTTTGGTCTGATAATGACTCTTTTGAGCAGGGTGTACTTGCTGCTGTTAATCTTGGTGATGATACTGATACCACAGCTGCTATTTATGGTCAATTAGCTGGTGCATACTATGGATACAAAAACCTTCCTAAAAAATGGGTAGAACAAGTTTATGCTAAAAAATTTATTTTAAACTTGAGTAAATGGATAGCATATGAAGGAGAAAACTGGAACGAAACGGACGTAATTCTGTCATCCGATCCGTCTTTCGTTGATAAGCCTGTATCAAATAAAATTGAAACATCATTCACTCAAGATGAGCCGGAATCGAAGTCAACTTTGTCAACTCAACGAAGTAGAAGATACAGGAATGATTCGGATGATAATCAAAATTTGTCTGATAGTAGGAACGTCACTTCAACGGAGTCATTTAACCAAGCTTCAAACCTGAACAATGATGCAAATGCCGCATTCACAAAAACAAATCAAGACGCTGCCTCTACCGTTCCGACTTCTGAAGAGAATTCAAAGTTGTGAATTTCTGAATGATTATAGATCTCAGAAACTCTCACATTTACATGTAACCGTGAAAACTACAATTTTAAATGACTACTCTTGAAGAAATCTAGAAATAAAAGAAACATTTAAATAAAATATTTTCTATCATATTGAATAATGTTGGCGTCAATACGTTGTCCGTTAATATATCGTGAATGTCTCTTGACATAAACCCAAGTATTTTTAAAAACAAATTTTCTTCTAGACGAAAACTTCATATGAGAACTGTGTTTCCTAATCTTTGTTGTTATATATCAGTTTGAAGTATACTTTGCTGAAGCTCTTTTTATTAGCACTTGATTTCCATCATTCTATAAAATAGTCGTGTGAAGATATTTGTGATTGAATTCGACCTTTAGATATTAATTATGAAAGTTATGTAGATGACTTTCAGCATGACAACATTAATATGCATGGTCTTTTTAAATATATATTTGATCATGATGAAGTCGTGGGGTTTCAAGTAACTAGTTCGAATAGTCTATGATTTGTTGTTGCCAGCATCAAATAATTGAATTATAAATTTTCAACATCAATGATATTAGATAGTACTCCTGACAGTGTCCTTTACACTGTTGAAGACTTTGTTTTACGTTTGCATCTAAGAAATTCTATAAATTCGAATACTTTATCGTGTGTTTAGAAATAGATTCAAGACAAGATGCATTCAATTTTGTATAATGAAATCCTACAATGGCTCGAATCATTGCTTATTTTTATTGATGTCAATAAGATAGAACGTTTTGATAATACTGGATCATATTGAATATTTCTTCTTCAAATTAGTTTTATTAAAATTGTCTATGAGTAGAAATCAGTGCCAACCTTGTTCTCATCGCTTGTTCACAAGCAAAGTTTTCTATCTTGCTATTGACCTTATTGATGAGAAGCATATTAATTCATCCAAATGGATCAACATTATCAACTATTCTGCTCAAAAAATCTAATTTTTCTTTTAAAAAGTATCAAACAAGAAGATATTTAAAAACAGAAGAAGAAATGAAATGAAATGCAATAGTAGTTCAACAAGTAAATCATAATCGAGTGATTTTCATCGAGAGAGTATGATATGAATGGAAATACTTTATCATATCTCGATTTATATCGGATGTATTTCCTAGACTTGATAGACTAGGTCATGGATGGCTTTGCAAGGCTATACACTTCACGTCATCAGTTGAGTACATTCGTAAGTATTATAATTCTATGCGATGTCTAATTTTGTTCTAGGTCATATAACTTAAAATAATTTTCGCCATTATTGTTGATGAACTATTATTGATTCCTAGTGAAAACTTCCGGTTTTATATAACTTAGAAAAACAATCCGATTATCAATATCATTAAATTTTCATGGTAGCTAATCATGATGAGATATCTTAGAACTTTTGTTCAACATCTAATAGAACTTACGATATTCCCTTTGATGAATTTGCTATTTTGCAACAATACGATATTATATCAGAGGTGATTATTCATATTAACTGCAGTTCACTTTCTCGTACTTCTGTGTCTATTAAAGAAAGTTTTCATAGAATATTTCTCTTCAAAGAATGAAATCAGATTAATCAAGGATCTTGTAGCCTTGAAAAGAATCCTTTCCTCTGTCTATTAAGTAATTTCGAATTATTGAAATTAGTTTAACAATAAAATATCAAGAATGTTTTAGTTGTATATTGACTAAAAAGTCGCTTTAAAATCTAGTCAAAAAAAAACCAATAAAATCTTTCACATTTAATAGATCCTTATGTACCATATTTGCCGTGCATAATGAAAATCAGATAAAAAGAATAGAATATCGTATGCGAGAATGCGTAAAAATGATTTGCATTTTCTTCTGTTACTTTCTCTCTGATTTGATTTGTTTCAATATTCATAGCATAGCTTTCTCTTTAAGACATCTCATCTTTGTCTAATATTAAAGATAAAATTATCTTTTAATGAAGTCATTAAGTCATGAAATAACTCATGTAATACATGATATAAAATCTAAATACCAAACTGAGCTAAATCAATTCAACTAATCATAAATATATTGTTAAATATTTTATTAGCTTCCTGGAATTGATATCGTTGATGAAGCTAAAATTTGATTTTTCTGAGTTCAATTTAGTATATGATCACCTAAAATCTGATATAATGGTTTGAAGCTCATCTATATTGATTGATGCTGAACATAATATCAATGTTGTTATTATTCAAAGCTTTATTTTAGTTTATTATTTTAAAATCTTTATATTTTCAATCAAAACATAATTATAACTCTAAATGAGAAGTATTTTCAGGTTCAAACGCCAAATTAATATCACCAGGATTAAGATCCGCTTGATATTTGGGAGTCGATTTGTCAATCTTTGGTCCATAACGACCATAACGGTTTTCAGGTTTTGCTGGTCCCCATTCAATATCGGGTTCCCTTGCATAAACCAACATCCGCAAGTAATGTGGCATATTTTCAGCAACCTTTAACATACAAGTCAAATATTTATTAACAATCATAGAAAAAACATATGGTTTTTACTGGATAGCCAGAACGGTCTGTTATTTTCCATGCTTTAATAAATTCATAAATCATAATGCTCGGAATAAAAATGAGTGATGAACAAACCATAAGCCAGCCAAGTGCATTGGCATATGCTGGATATTCATAATTGCCTTCGGTCGGTGTTCGAAATCGAATGACCGTTGAAAAAAAAATGATCTAATTTTAAAAAGAAAAATTTTTTAACTTAAATAATAAATTCTTTATTGTTTAATATTTACTAGAGTAACTAACGGACCAGAAATACACCAAGTAAAAAACCAAAATGGTTCTAAAGGTCTTTTACCTAGCATCATTCGAATATCTTCCATAAAATTATTAAAACCTGCAAAGAGAAAAAGACTTAACCCAAGACTTGGTCGATATAATATATTTTACCATAGATATAGGCAATAAGCACAAATTCAATAAATGCACATGCAAATACAGATAAATTAGATGCATATTCATTCATTAATGTCTACAAATAAATTAAACTATTAAGATATAACAAACCATATACACATACAAACAGATAAATTCCACCCTAAACAAAAGAATATCAAAGTAAATAATATGTCTTACATATCATATTACCGGTGCACATATTGGTAATGCTAGTAAATAACAGACAATGCAATAGCTGATAGTTACAAAGATTTTATGACGACGTAATTGTTTAAATGAATCGAGTAAACCAGAGATGATAACATCAGCGAAAGCAAACTAGAAGTAATCTCTACAATACATTAAATGATACTTCTATTATGCCAAGTTACCTGAGAATCGAGTCCAAGAGTAAGTAACATAAAAAAGAAAATTACAGCCCAAAATGGTCCACCTGGCATGATTGATAGTGCTTGTGGATAAGCAATAAACGCAAGACCCGGTCCCCCTTGTGCCACTTGTGCAATAGGTAAACCTGTTTTTAGTGACATATAACCAAGAATTGAAAAAATTGCAAAACCAGCAAATACCTATTGTTTTCATTCGTAGTTTATTGAAACATACAGAAAGTACTAACTTACTGAAGTAAAACAGTCACAAGCGGTAACAATAATACAATCCCTAAATAAATATGTATGTAAATGAAATGTACAAAATCAGGAAATTAAATTAATGAAAATTTATTAACCTGAGATAGTTTGCATTAAATTTATTGAAACTAGCATAACCTAGAAGAGGACCAAATGCAACCGACAGAGAAAATGTAACCTAGTAGATCGAAAATATTGAAATATACAAAAATATGTGACTGGACAATTCGTTGTAGGTGAGTGGATGAACGTGGACATGTAGATGTAGATAAGTTGTTTAGGTTGTCAATGAGAAGATATAAAAGAGCCACGCTCACATCTACACTCTCACGACACATTCTTCTGCAACGTATTGTCCAAACACTGCAAAAATTCATGAAAAAATAACAAACCTGATTAGCAGCAGCAACCCAAACCTTCAAAAGAAAACGGAAGTCAGACAATAAATAAAAATTCTAAGAATTCTAACATAAAAAATCCTACTTAGTAATAAATATTCGAGTTGAAAAATCTCACTTTACATGTGAACATAAAGAAAAGTGAACTATACTTACATCGAATTCTCGAATTTTATTCCAATTAGGTTTCAAATAAAACGTAAGACCAGCTCGGGCACCTTAGTAATATATTAGGACTTATATTTTGAGTAAATAAGTATAAGAAATATTACCCGGTAAAGTTACACCACGAATGATTAAAGCAAAAATGACAACATAAGGAAATAATGCAGTAAAATAAACGACCTATTACATCAATTATATTAATTGAATAATTATTATAAATATTTTACTTTGCCCGACGATTTAATACCTTGAATAATACAAAGACCAACAAGAATCCAAGCTAATAATAAACATAATGATAAAGACCAACTAGGTGAACCTAGTTTATCAAGTGAATCACTTCTTCGTAAAACATAATTACTAAATAATATTTCATATTCATAAGAAAAAAAACAATACTATATTGTCATACTTAAAATATTCTTCTGGTGGAAGACTAGGTATTGTACAATTTGTTTGATAATGAATACTTTTGCAGAAAACAGTCGAATTTAGAAAATTTAGTGTTTCTATAAAAGAATAAATTCAATTCTTTTTCAATAATTCAGAAAATGAAAGCAATATTTTCCTGTTGTAGCACAACGCTCGGTATTCCACCAATTTCCACAATCACTCCATTGAAGTTTACGTCGAAATGAAGCAAAAAAATAAAAAAGACACCAAGCAATTATAACATTATAATAGATTGAAACTAAAAATGAATTTACAACCGTTGCCCAACCAAGACCTGTAACACACAAAATACTATGTATCATGAATACAGTTATGTTCAAATTATTTTTCCTACCTTTGAACATTCGTGACATTTTAAAAGCAGCTGCTGAACCACTACTCGTAAATTGGCCCAGTGACATTTCGAGAAAGAAAAGCGGTGTACCAATAAGAAAATATATACAAAAATATGGTATAATAAAAGCACCTATTATTCTCATTATAGTTATCAATCAATAAAACCAAAAGTATTATAAGATATACTTACCTCCACCATTTTTGAAAGCTAGAAGACAAAAAAATCGAAATAAGACGTATATTTATTCTTTCATCATATATTTACCAATGTATGGATATCTCCAAACATTACCGAGACCTTCGATATAAATGAAAATATTAAACGAAAACTTTTCTATATAGTTGTTGATCGAACCTACCAATTGAACAACCGATTAATGAAAGAAAAAATTCCATCGGTCGATCCCATTCTTCTCGTTCTTCTTCTTTGTTTTTTGAAATTTCATTCTAAAAATATCCGATATACATCAAATTAGAATTTATACCAACCTACTTCACATGATGGTTCAGATGTTTTACGAAGTAAAAAACGAGCTTTCAGACGATTAAACATTATCAAAATAAATAAAATTAATCAATTTGTGCTTTTTCTTCTAACATCAAAAATGACCTTTCTTACTGCTTGCTGAAAACGTCAGAATTGATAACAAAAAAAAGAAAGACGCACTTTTGTTAATTAAAATAGACATGAATTGCTCTTTGCGATAGAGAATATTAATGGCAACAAATATCAAAACAAGATATTTGCAATATGAAAAATCAGATTTAGAGTTGAGACGAAAATAAAAACCATTTTTATTATTCTGACTTCTGGTTAGCGTAATATGATTAGTTGTCTTATACAACTTAACGAGCTTATTAACTTTATATACAATGAAAAACAAACAAAATAAAAAAAAGCACCATTTGGTTATCGATCAAGAATCATAGGAAGTAGTCACGACTAAAGATTATTTGAAAATTTTCATCTTGAGCATTTAATAACTATTCATTTTGTTCTGATCTAGAATAAGTAAGGGTTAAAACTGTATAGAAAATAATTTATCGTCTCTTGATTGTTGATAATACGACTGCCATACAGTCAAATGTTCCAATATAAAAGATATATTTTTATAACTGAATATAAATTATCAATGATATTTTTCATATTTTTTCCTGACGTAGAAGGCTGAAATTTTTATTATATTTATATCGAGCCAATGTTTTTAATGTTCCTAATTTTCAGTTTTCTAACTTAAACTAATATTGAAATACATGAATTTTCGCAGCGAATTTTCGTAAAACTTTGCCACTCAATCAATTATTACATATATGTAATGACTAAATGTTTCTATCTACACAGGAATATATTGATATCTACAATACAGAGATGAAACCAGTAACATTTACCGACCATTCGGATCGGATACAGGTTTGAGATTGATGCCTGCACTGACCATGAAAAAGCCAACTTAAAACCATTTGTGTGAAAATGTTTCAGATTTAATGACAATTTTTATCTTAAATGTTGATCAGTTATGAATACAGAAAAAGTCTATTATGGTTTTTATTGAATTTAAAAACTGTCCCAAAAACAAATGCGGAGTATTCGTGTTGCATGTTTTGTAGCATAATTATTTTATAAACATATAGAATCTATGAATAGTGATGCCAAATTTTATGATGCATTGAGAGAATTGAAAACTTGTGACATGTACTGAAAGAAAGGGTTCATACTAACGTATTTAATACATTGTATTTATTCGAAAATAAATTGCTAAAGAATGAAAGAAACCTTCGAAAGAAAAACGTGCAAAAATAATGGATGAAACACCTTATCATTTACAGGGGGTCATAGCAAAAACAATGCACAGTATGTTTGTACAAATTAAGTTTTTTTAAAATTTACACCTGCGCAAATTATTGTCTTCTACGAATTCTTTTTTAGCAAGTGTTTATAAATATCACTATTCATGAAATAAACATATTATACACATAAAACAAAAAGAAATCATGTGTTTCAATCTTAAAAATGAGTTTTAATATTAATCTTAGTTAGAAAGCTAAAACTTTGAAAAGTTGAAAATCTTAATTTGATATATATAAATATATGATAAAAATTTCAGTCTTCTACATTAAGAAAAAGTATGAAAAATATCATTAATGATTTGTTCTCGGTTGTTGTGGAACACCCCGTAGGTGAT